ATTCATTCCCCTTTAAATTTTGTCTCTTCCTTCCTTCCTTCCTTCCTTCCTTCCTTCCTTCCTTCCCTCCTTTCATCCTTCATCCTAATTCCCTCCCCAACTCCTTCAATGGCTTCACTCTGTTTCCTTCCTCCCTTCCTCTTCCTTCTTTTCCTTCTTTCCCTCCCTATCATCTATCACTACATACACCATCAACTCTCTACAATCCACTAAGTAGGGTATTTTGCTAGCTGATTATAAATCTCTCCCTTTTCAGCAATCGGGCTCTATCATATCCCTATGGCCAGAATAGGGGACAAAGGAATGGTAATTAACTCAATTCTTTTATTCAATAAATCATTTCTAATTATAATAACATATAATCTGTCCTCTAATATTTCCAGTTTTTATTCTTCAGATTATGAGTAGTCAACCAAGAACTGAACAAGTTGGTGGCCCATTCTATTGGGCACAATGGGATACTCTCAATCAAAGACTGTACTTCCTACACAAGAAATTTAAGGTACAGTTGGTAACCCTCTGTAAGAAAAAYGTACTACCTTAAGTGCTTAAAGTGCCTATCACCCTTCTGACAATATTCAGAGTATTGATTCTACATGAGGTAAGATGTGGAATAATCCGGGAAAAAATATAGTTTGACTGCGGCTTCTTTAAGTTATAAAGGTTTTTCTATGCCATATGCTAATGCTGTGACGTATGAGGAGTAATCATTTAATATACAAAACATTACTGGCACAGATAAATTATTAAATTTGAAATATGTCATTGTTTTCCCCATTGATCTTATGTAAATAATTATGGCAAGTTAGTTTTCACATAGAAGCCTCTGTTTCGAATTACAAGGAGCAACAAATGACCATAAATGCCTCCTCATACGTCACAGCATTAGCATATGACATGGAAACACCTTTATACCTTCAAGAAGCTGCACTCAAACTATGAAATTTGTTTTGGGTTATTCAACATCCTACCCCATGAAGAATCAATACTGTGAATATTGTCAGAAGGGATATAGTCACTTTAAGTCTGGATCTGAACAACTAACAACTACTATATAAAAATTCCTTTGACTATGAGAGATTTTGTTCATTTTAGTAGTCAGTGCATCATTTTCTTTTATTAGTACTAATATCTCTTAATTTACCTGGCCTGAAGCAGTTTTGCAGTTTAATCAATATATACTGGCATTAGCTGATTCTATCCAGTCATTATATATAATAGAACATGCTTTGCTTTGTAGGAAGATGATGAGGAAGAAAAAGGCTCTTTTGAATGGACGTTTTCAGCATATCAATTCAGTGAAAAGGTGCTTCAATTTTGTGTGGTAAGTTATTTTGTGTGGTAAGGTACACTTAATTCACATAATTCTCGTTTTGTAGGCATCTCTTTTTGAGACAGTCTGTTTATTGTCAAGCAGTCTTGACACTTGTTCTTGTTTTGTTTTCAGCTAAACATGCAACTGCCGTTCAACATTGACACCAATCATGTTATCTCAAGGTAAAGGCTTCAAACATCTACTCCTAGTTTCACTGGCTGTCTAACATAGAATTTGTGACACCCATGAATTTAAGCATAAGTTGTCTGGGGTTTGTTCATTGAAAGAAGATTCACAGAATGCAGGCACCACTTCTTGCCACCTCTGACCTCTGAGCCTCGTGGCTTTAGATCGCTTACTGTACGGAAGGAAAGAGTTTTTACTGTAGCGGCTTGGGGTCACCCTTGCTCTCAACTAGACCTGCGGTTTCGCCGCTTGGGGAGAAAGGCTTAAACACTGTAATCCACACTCTTTCCTGTGATGCAACATTATGGCAATTAAGAATCAAGTGTGGATTACAGTGTTTAAGCCTTTCTTCCCAAGCAGCGCAACCGCAGGTCTAGTTGAGAGCATGGGTGACCCCAAGCCTTGACAACATGTTGAATTTAATTTAGAAATTATTTCCATTAACTTCATATGCCTTTTTCTCAGATTGCAAACATAATGCATTGTGGTCTACCTTGGGTACAAACATTTATCATTAATCATGCCTTATTTTGTGTTGCATGTACAAAAGCTAGACCAGAATGCATCCTGTTTATGGTCCTCACAAACCAGTAGCTTCAGAAATTGATTATTATCACTTTCCTATTGATTCCTATTAACATTTTCAGCTCTGCACAGTATTTCAATTTACCCCTGATGCAGACCATATCAGGTTAGTACATGGTAATGAGAAGTTTGTTTAAGATTCCTGTTTTCTTAATTAGGCATGAGAAAGTGTCACAGTGTCCTCAACAATCATTTGTCAATGATAAATTAATGGAAAATAACCTCATTACTCAAAGTAATAAACTTTGTTTCAAGGAAATAGAAAAGAATCATATATCAGACTTTAGAGCTTTCAGGTTCCAGCTCACTCTCTTACAATATATGCTTCAATCTCTCCACCAAGGTATAAGGCCAGGGGTACAGTACCTCCAACAAGTATTAGGGAACCAGAGGAAATGCTGTAGGGTAACCTACATTAAACAGCATCTTGTTTTGGGAGGGGAGGGGGCTAGCAATTGATACTTGATATAATTCATGCTGTAGATACAGTACAGGCCGTAGCCACAAGTTTCTGATTGGTCAGGTTTTTGAGGGTTTTTCAGTTTTTCTTACATTTTTTAAAATTTTTCTTATATTTTCCCCACTAAAAGTTGGTCCGGTTGAAACTGGACCAACCATAGTGGTGGCTCAGTCCAGAGATGTATGCTTATTGCACCAGGCTTCCAGTACCTACTAGATTTGTCATCTCAACTCATTGTCTTATTGTTCTTACTCAAACAGAGAAACAGTTCAACATGCAAGTGGTGACAACAGCTGGAGGTAAGACATTTTTCTTTCATCTTAAGGATTTCAATCATGACATCCATGGAAGGCACAAGAATTGTCTAATCTTGTTGTATAYATTTCTGGTAGGTTCCCTTTACATTTGTTTACAGCATAAAATTGAGGATGAAGAAGAAGAAGAAGGCTTTCATAGTGAGCAAGTAAGTGCTCAACAGTAAGAGACTATAATACTTTTAAATGTTTGCAGTGTTTTTTTTTTCGTGGTGTGTCTTTCTTTCCTTTTCATCCTCCCTTGCTAACCATCTTCCATCAATCCTTCCCTCCTTCCTTTCTTTCTTCCATGCTTCCTTCCTTCATGGTCTTTCAGACTACTGCCTTCCCATTCTACTTTTTTTCATTTCTTCCATTTTTATATTTTCTCGATATTTTTTTTCAAGTTAGTATCTTCATTATCATTATCCTCTGAAGGCTTAAAATGCTTTAGACTCTCTGCATTGTTTAGTTACCTCTTCAGAAACGACTGAGTAGTGAAACACCACCAACAGAACAATCCTTCATGGCATCTCTGGAATACTCTGTGTACTTCCTTCATCATGGTATGTTCTTTCTAAAACAATATCCATCCAGATTTTTAACAAACTGTATTCAACAATGCCTATTATCATCAAAAAGATAATGCTAAATCAGGAACATTTTCATTAGTTTCTTCCCCCACTCACAAACGGGGTGGGGCTGTTTGGGGGAGGGGGAGGGGAAGGGGGAAGGGCAGTACCTAAAAAATAATTATTGTTCCTACAATGCTTTACATTTCTACTTATTTTGATTGGTGGAGGCTTAAAACTTCTGTGAAGTCAGAGGGATTATCCCATTTCATTCCACTATTTGTCCCATTATTTGACCATTTACATGCATCTTATTTCCTTTGCAGATTGTATCTTGCACTGCGTCCTGCATTGTGTTCCAAAACACCTGGTGAAAAAGAGTGTTTTATTTTTCTCTAGTTTACGTAAGTGGAAACACGTTTTCCTCGTTTGTCATTTTACTTGTACTGTCTTACTCATAAATTTATGAATTTTCATATGAGTGGGAAACATTACAGCATTTTGTACCATGTACATCCTGCAAGTCACTACCATACGTTTCACACTCATACAATAACCATTTCTATGGAAAGCCATTTTTAATGTTACAGCATGTCATGCTATTTACTGTACGTGCTGTAAGTTATGTTTCACACTCATACAATAACCATTCTTATGGGAAGCCATTTAAATGTTACATTCCTATGTACCTGGTAATATAAGCCAGTATGTATGTTCCCGCTCATACAAGACCACTCTATTGCCCAAGATATTCACATAAAGTAGACGCTACAAGTGTTTACATTTGAATAACTATTTCTGTAGATAATTATTTGTTGGTGTTGTTGCCTGGATACGCCTTGCATCTGCTGAATGGTAATGCAGAACATGAACCATGCCATCACATCATACTACAAGGTATACAATAATTACCTTCATATTTATCCAACTATTCAAATTAGAGTACAAATAATGCAGGACAAAGCCTGGAGCCTGCGATATTCGCACTCTAGGTTATTTTGTACAGTAAAATACCGGTTTTGAAAACTAGTTTTTAAAAAATCGTTTTGAAGCCTTCTTTTTTGGGAAAAAGTATTCGCTTAGTTGGATAATAAATAACTTATTAGACATTTTAAATATCTGGAATACGAGTGACATTTCTTCTCGCCCTATCAGGATTGCCAAAATAAAGAAGACTCGTAGCAAAAAACCAATCGTATTCCACCCTAAGATGTCTTATAAGATCTATTTATTATATTTACAAATTCAGGGGAGAGGGGCAGATAATTTCAATGCTAAGATGGAAGCGTATTTGAAAATTCAATCAGTGCAGCACTCAGGGTGACTGGGACTTGGGACTCGATTTAAAAATATAACTTTCTCTCATTAGGTGATGAGATTCCCAAGTTTTCAGTTCAAGGGCCAGAGGATCAACCTCCACTCCTACTCTACTTACACAAGCAGCAAAACACGTTTGTAGTTTCTGGTGAGAAATTTAGAACATTATCTCCTACAGTCAACATTATGAACTGAACCTCCACCTGCTTACTTACATTGAGGTGCTCTTTTCATTTCTGATATTTCAATACAAATGCTCGTTTTAAGGAAGTACGGTCACGCTCTCTTTGAGGTTAGCCTAGTTAATAAAAGATATACCGAGCAAGTATAGAGCCCGGAGAGGGGGGGGAGACTCCGGGAAAAAAGTACCGGGGATGCTCGTCGGAAATTTTCAAAAAGACCCCTAAAAGATACCGGAAGTCTTTAAAAAAGGGCGTGGCTGAATGATTTTTAACCCCTAAGAGATACCACAAGAAGTAATATTAAATTTTATATAAAAAGCGCCTAGGATAAGCCACATCGATGCGCGCTTCTCTCCTTTTCCGACACCCTAAGAGATACCAGAAAATACTGATTTTCAATAATTTAATAATTTTTGAAGGTTAATCCACTAATGCCAGATCTATCCGATCATTGTCATATTTCTTATGGAATAGAAATCCAACTTTACCCCAAAAACAGTGGAAACAAAGAAAGAGAAGAAAATAGGGAATTTTCGACAATTTCTAGCTTAAAGTGGCATA